CCAGCGTCCCCGGGTCCTCCGGAGCGGCGTGTGCGCCCCATGCTGCCGGGAGGACGGCGGGCGAGGCCCCCAGCGGGGAGCGCGCTGCACAGGGAGCCTCACCGCGAGCACCCCGGGTACTCACATAAGTCGTGCGGGTCGAAGGGCCGGGGTGGGTCGGGCTCCCAGTCACCCAGGTCGGTGTCCTCGCCCTCCTCCTCCTCCTCCGAGTCTTCCTCCGAGTCCTCCTCGGAGTCCTCCTTGGCCTCCAGCCCCCCCATAGGGGTCTGCAGAGTGGCCAGCGGGTCCGCGTCATCTGCACCCCCAACCGAAGGCAGCACCTGGTTGTGCACCGGCAGTGAGGCCTGGACAGAGGAGCACCATCAAGTCAGAACACGGCCGGGCATAGTTCCCTGCACACAGGGACGCAGGTGACATTCGAGGGGGTGGCGGCAGGTGTTCCTCACAGGGCCCCATCCGAGGCCCCGGAGAAAGGATCCCGTCTAACAGCCTTAAAGAGGAGCCTGCCTTCATTTCTGCGGCTTCTGCTCCACACCTGCGTGAGCGGGTGGGAAACCCCGGGTGCTCCCTCCTTCGACACCGGCAGGGGGTTCAAACCCCGAGCACCTGACCACACGCTCTGAACCCCCACACTGATCCCACACCCCTCCACCTCGACGAAACCCCGAGCCCGTCTCCTTTCCTTACTCACTCAAGCCCTTTTAACCCTGCTTGAGAGGCCGGCCCTGTCTGCCCTGACACTTCGGACGTGGGAGTAACACACCTCCACACCCTCGCGGTGTGTGTGTGATATCAGCAGTCCCGACATCTGAGCTCGGTGTCGGGTCGGGGTCCCTCCGGCCCTTTCAGGGCGGCCCCAGCAGTGTCGGTGATGTCTAGCCTACCTTCAACCACTCACTTTTCAGACTAAACCCGGGCACAACGTGCAGCTGGTAAAATTCAACGGTTAGCAGCTCTCCCCTTACTCCTCAGAGAGGCTGAGGTTCTAAGAAACGACGAGAGAGGTGTCGTTTGTTCATCGCGCTGAAGTCGGTCCTTCTCACACAAGAGGAGGTCTGGGTCATGGATTGGGTCAGTGCTACCTGACCAAACCTGCCGGCAGGAAGTAAGTGGTCCCTTACGGGGTTTCCTCGCCTCCTAAATGAGTGCTGTGGGTTACAGACCACCCCTGCCCCGCTCCCTTTTACCCAATCTACGGCTCCTGCCCAATTAGCACCCTAAGTCACACTCAAGCCATGTCCCCTTCCTGTTTGATAAACACAGCAAGTTTTTAAAAATGCCTACTCCCCTTTTCTGTCTGCCCACCTGTTGTCCCCTCGCCCAGGCTGCCCTCCCTGCGCCCATCTTCTGCTCCAGGCATCGCCTTCCAGTCTCTCCGTGAACCGCCCCCGAGGCGCTAGCCTCCCTGACCTCCCCGCTCTATCTGCGGCCCTGAGCACAGCAGCCCACTCGACGGCACGCAGCCCCGGCTTCCACACCCACCGCCTGCAAGGCCGCGGGTCACGCCGGCATCGCTCACGACGGTTTCTGTGGAGCAGGGATGCCCCATGTACCTCCCACGCGCTGGCTGGGACCGACAACTTCCCTCCCGGGTTAGATGGGATAAGTCTAACCCTTCTGCACGTGAAGACAGTTCTTCAGACACTCCTAACTCATTCAGTCACTGCCCACGCGGCCAGACTTCCAGATCCCTCCACGCCCTGCGGTCTCCATTTATTCCTCGGTGGGTTCCACATCTTTAAAACGTAGCATTAGCATTTATGACGGTCTTGTTCTACGGCTGACCCGTTTCACATCTGCAGATACCCCAAACCCCCGAGTCCTCTGTTCCCCCTCACAGAGTGCTATTAACCCATTTCTCTCCTCCTCGGGACTTAAGCAGCTGATTTTCACTTAAATGGAAGGACTTTGCATTTATCTCCAGTAAATTTCATTTTACTCTTCCAGTTTCCCCCGCCTGCCAAGATCTTGTAGAATGCTGACTCTGACATCTCACACACCAGCAATCCCTCACAGCTTCTGTACCCATTGCCGAACACCGCCTACTTTTCAGTGCTATGCATTTTCATGTCAGTCCATCTTGCCTCTCCAACTGCCCCTCAGGGAAGCAGAGCACGGGCTTTGGAGTTAGACAGATTTGGATTAAAATCCTGGCTGCACTACTTAGCAAGGTAATAAACCACTCTGAACCTCGGTTTCCCTGTCTATAAAATGGGCATAGTAATAAACTGATACCTGACAGGTTGTCGTGAGGACTAAATGAAGCAATAATGTATATGAGGTAGTAGGAAAGTATCTGGCATTTAATAAGTGCTTAATATTAATAATAATGATTATTATCATAACTCTGTAAGGACAGAGGTAACATCATATACTTCCTCTACTCCTTAAAAGACTGCTGAACATTAGGTGCTCAATGAAGATTACTCTGTGCAAATATAATTGGCCCTTTGGGAAATGACACCAGTCCCTGTAGTCACCTAAAGGAACTGTGCTGCTGGGCACAGAAACATCCTTTGTTTGATGGGCGTCAAAGCCCGAGAGCTTCCTAAACTCCATGATGAAGTACTGGGTGTGTTTACAGAGCCAGACACGACGGCAGTTTAAGGTCATTGCCCAGCATCTGAAATACTCAGGCTCCAGAAAGCAGATAAAATCAGTTACCTCAAACAGTGCATGCCTGTTTGAACACGCACTCATTTAACCAGGAGCCGAGACTTTTACGCAACTTTCCGTCTCTGCAGCTCAGGGCCTTCTGGAAGCTTTATGTGGGAGAACAAAAGTCTGGAAGCTGCTTCTGCTTCAGCTTCAATGAAAGCAAATGAGACACCTGCCGAGGTGAGGCCGTCACAAGGAAAAGCGCAGGGACTTCTGGCAACAGGACTGTATTTGCCACCCCCCTCTGTCACCTCCCCTGGTCCTGCAGCAAAGCCGCTCCGTTCCCACTTGTTATGTCAGAGCAGTTTCAATACTGCCCTTTATTCCAAGCACTTAGAGTTTACGCCAGTGTTAGTGATGAATGTTATCACACCCTGAACAAACCGAAGCATATATCCACCTCTGCTCCTCATAAATTCTTTATCTCTGCAGAGCCAACCTCAAAGAATGAATTCAGCAATTCAGAGTTATTCCAGCGAAGCGGTGATGTATTTTTTCCCCAACAGATGCTGCTAGAAAGACTGTGGTTGGGCAAGGTTACTGCTGGCTTCTCGCCACTGCTGAGAAAGCTGGCATCAGGATAGTACTAACAACCTTCTCCTCCCCTGTGCTGAACTCTCCTAAAAGACTGTGGCAAAGAAAAGGCTCGAACACTCCAGCATTATCTGGAATGACTGGCGGTGAAGCAGGGGTTGAACGCACACCAGAATTGTGCAAACTGCTGTTGAAAATGAATGAACAGAGTCAATGGCAATCATTGCTTGGTAACCACTGTCTACTTCCAGTAGGCGTGCATTATAAATTTGTTAATTCATAATTCAGATCCAACTGACACTTTCTGAGAGCCAGGCATATTTTTAAATTCCTTTGAGGCCAGGTAACATCACGACATAGTTCCTAAGTGCAGACATACAATTCAAATTCTGGCTCTGCCCTGCTTTTTCTACCATATCACAACGGCCCCTACGGAGCTAAGTCTGTTCAAGGAGGGCACCAGAGGAGGTAAGCATCACACACGCCTTAACTCCCAGAGCCACCAGGTAACCACACCTGCTCTGGGACAACAGCCAGGCAGCAAGGTGCTGAGCAACGTGTGCCAAGTACACTTACAGAAAGAGAGGAGACAAAAATATTTTAACCCTGCGTGTTTTCGCAAGCACAATAAAACATGGTAGGAGGAAAAGGAATTTGTTAAACTATGGTGCACTTTCTCCTTCCCACTTAATGTCTCTCTCAGTAATTACCTCTGAAACTATATAATGCATTTGCATTTCAGGAGACAATTTATCTGAGAAGTGAAATATGAAGCCACACTGGACAGCAGCACACACAACAGAATGCTTCTGCGTCCCTACTGAGACCAATTACCATGCAGCATATTTCCTTCTCAGTGTGTGGGGAGTCGCACATGTTCATTTTCAGAAACAAAGAAGAGACTGTGCTGCGTCTGGAGACTACTGGAGCCTTGCTTAAGGAGGAGGGAAGACATACATGAAAAAGGCTTCGAGTGGATTTTGCCACCACTGAAAATAGGAACCTTTTTGCTAAAAGGGGGAAAGGCATTTATCATCTGCGTTAAAGGCTCACTCCAACTTTCTATTCAGAATTTACCCAGGTCACAGAACAAGCAGAACAATCAATGAGGTGTTATAGCCAGAAATAAAAACCGTGCTGGTTGAAAGGAAACTGTAAAAAAGAAAGATATGAAGCTAGGAGTTATACTTCCTTGTAATGTCAATGTTCATAAGGCTATCTGGGTACAACTTTCCTTTTGTGCAGGACATGAAACAGATTGTTTCTGGAGATTGAAGAAGATGAAGGGCCCTTTGAGGTGCAAATGGCAACCACATTTCTAACTATGCCTTAATATGAAAACAAGAGAATACCATTTTGCATATCAGATTGGCAAAATATTAAAAGAATGCAAGTATGTGTGGTAACAGGCATTGTCATATACTGTTGGTAGGAATGTAAATTTTTTCAGCTTCTGAAAAGCAATTTAGACGGTCTTATCAAAATAGCTTTCCCATTAATAATGACAAATTTTCAAACATATATCAAATAGAATAGTATAATACACCTCACACACCCATCACTCAGCTTCAACAATTACCAATTTGTGGCTAACCTAATTTTAACTATTTTCCCACACACCTTCCTCTCACTAGATTATTTTGAAGCAAACTTCAGGCATTATATATTTTCAGCTGTAAACAGTTCAGTAGATATCTCTACAAGAAAACGACTTTTTAATTTTATATATTATCATACCTAAAAAATTAACCATTCCTTAACATCATCAAATATCCACTGTTTCCCAACGGTCTCATAATTTGTTTTACAGTTGTTTTGTTCAAAGTCTCCTTTAATCTATAAATTCCTGCTCCGCTTCTGTCCCTTTGCAGTTTATACGTGGAAGAAGCCAGGCCATTTGTCCTGCAGTTTTCCACAGTCTGGATTTCACTGATTGCATCCTTCTGTGTCTTTTAATTCCTTCCACTTTGTCTACCCTCGGCTTCAGGTTCAGTTTGGGGGAGAAACACTTCATATGTGGTGAAATGCAGTGGAAGGTACACAACAGCAGGAGGCCTGTAGCGAATGGTTCTCTCTTCTGGGTGACACTAACAGTGATCAGAGGGTCAAGCTGATCCATCCACTATAAAGTGCCTCATCAGCTTTTTCCTGATGGTTTCAGACTGTGGTTAATGATCACTGCCTAGATCATATTTCATTAGAGGGTGAAAAACGGTGATATTCCAAGCGAGCCATCCCCTCTTTATTCATTAGTTGGAATGCTTCAATAGAGAAATTTCCCTCATCAAGTAACTGTTTACCTGAGTACGTTCAGGGAGGAAGGCCGAGTTCTTCCCAGTCATTTACCAGTTTCCTGAGTAATGAACACAGCGGTGGCCTCTAGTATCCTCAGAAAGTGACCAATGAGTGACTTCTTTTAATATCAGTACTAGCTTATGAAATGTTTTAATATATTTAATGTATTTCAATTATAGATATTTTCCTGTTTTTACAGGTCAGACTGTCCCATTTTGGCCCCTTCAAGTTAGATCATGAGTTCTTTCCACAGAGCACAAGCTTTTACCAGCTTCCTTGCACTGCGATAAGACAAGACTTTTCGGACACACCTTGTACATTTCCTGCTGCCAGGACCTGCCATTGCTCTGGGGAGCTCAGATTCTTTTTACTAAACAACTGTATTTAGAGACCACATTGGCTCGTCGCTACTGGGTGGATGAATGTATCTAACCCTTTCCAGTGACCAGAACTAGAAAGCATGTTTGTGCGTGTGTGTCTTTTTTTTTCAATCCTCACCTAAGGATATTTTTTCCATTGCTTTTCAGAGAGAGTGGGGTGGAGAGAGAGACAAAGAGAGAAAAAAAGAGAGAGACAGAAACATCAATGTGAGAGAGAGACATCAATTGGTTGCCTCCTGCACGCACCCCAACCAGGGTCGAGCCTGCAACTGAGGTGCGTGCCCCTGGCCTGAATAGAACCCAGGACCCTTCTGTCCGCAGGCCGACGCTCTAACCACTGAGCCAAACCGGTTAGGGCTGTGTGGTTTTTTTAAGAGAAAATACATCAAATATCTAGGAATAAATCCACTGAAAGATGTGTAAGACCTGTACCTAGAAGACAATTTTTTTAACTTTTATTTTAAACTCAGGGATATGTTGCATTCACAGACTGGAAGACACAATTTTATAACAATGTCAATTATTCACACACTGATGTACAGATACAATGAAAATCCAGCAGGACCTTTGTAGGAAACTTCCAGGTTTATTCTGAAATGTATATGGAAATGCAAAGGGCGAATAAGGATGTTTCTGGGTAGAATTTGTTTGGGTTCTTTTAATGTATTTTTCCATTTTTTGCATTGCTTTAACTCTTACTTTTGCCTGCCAAGTTGTAAAAACTCATCAAATCTATCCACTGCTTCCTTGACAGAATTAATAAATATTCACAGAAATGGACGTGGTTTGTTTTGTCAAGGATATACCTAATTATTACAAAGTTAGTAAAATAACTCTGCTATAGACTGACTGTTTGTGTCTCCCCAAAAGTTATATGTTGAAACATAATCCCCAGTGTGATGGTACTGTGGGGAGCCTCTGAGAGGTAATGAGCTCATGAGGCTACAGCCCTCATGAATGGGGTTTGTGCCCTCATAAAAGACACCCCAGAGAGCTCCCTCACCCCGTCAGCCTATTGGGACATATTGAGGACATATTGATCTAGGGTTTCCCAGCCTCCAGAACTGTGAGAAATAAATCTCTGTCGTGTATAGCCACCCCGTTTATGCCATTCTGATACAACAATCTAAATGGATTAAGGAGTGTTTTCATTCAGGTATATGAACCTGACAAAATTGTGCAGTGCTACCAATCAGGGATAAATTCAACCATAACTTATAGGACAAAGACGCCTAAGAATTCTCTCTTATATATTTCATAAATAATATTAATACAGCTACTATTCAGATTTCAAATTTTAAAATGGAAGTATCTAAGTCACCTATAAAAAGTTCAAAAGCAGAAAGTGCTTACCAATTGCGAATGTACTTAATAATCACTCGTGACACTCAGTGGCACAGCTGAGTTAGTCATACCAGCTAACATGAAAATAAAACTACTTGGATTCATCCTTCCTTTAGAGTAAGACGAACAATATCTAGCTCCCGCACCTTCTTTATTACTTTCACAACCTGGGGGAAAATAAGGAAGTCCCTCAAAGTCAAAAAGATAGATTAAAATATGGATAAAAGGAGAGCAATGCTTTAAAGGGTAACCAAGAAGAACCTCAGTTTTTCAGGAGCTGGAATGATGAAGGCACCACCATATTTAATTTCCTGTATAAGAAGCAGACATGGAGAGAGTACACAGAGCAGAGGGTTGGGGAACATTCCAGGGAACGGGAGAATTCACAGTATTAACCCCAAGCAACAAAGAGGCAAAAAGGAACTCGTTACCTGCTGAGCCGGAGCATCCTGTTGGACATAAGCTACCTGGCCTGGGTCTGTAAACAGAGTCTAGACAAAAACAAAAAAAACAAAACAAAACACCTTATCAATTGATCTTTAGATAGCTCGCCTACACAGGAAAAATTATCCTGCTGCTAAGCACCAAGTCATGGGAGAGTTAACCCCCATGCAGCTAGTAATAATCCTTCATTAATAAAGAAGATAAAGATAGTAATCCTACATTCAGCTAAAGCCTTTCATTCCGATGGCACCAAAGAGACTATAAGCCAACCATCTCAATTGGCTAACATTCTTCACGATTTTCCTCTAAAGCAAAGCCTCTCTTGAGGCTGAATGTCACGGCTAACTGAAAAGGCATGCCATGAAAACATAAAAGGCACTCCATGAACGAGGGTGCATTCACTTAACACTGCTAACCACAAGGGGCAGAACTGTGATTAAAAGAAAATGGTAAAGATACATAAAAATACAGAAGGGTACTATATATACACAGGCATTATAACTCTTTCAAATATAAAATGCACGCATTATCAGAAGTGCAGAAGAAAAATAAATTGAATTTAATGTTCCAAAGATTCCTTTTTGGGAAAAGTCGATAAAATCATAGTTTAAAAGAAAGTTCTTATAAACACATAATTTGTGTCATGATGCAGCAAAGCTGACCACAGAAGAAAAATCTTCAAAATTATTTTAGCCAGGGCACCACAGAAAACCTCCAAAACTTTTAAAAGACTTTAATTTGCCCAAGCCTTTAGCAAACCTATGGCAATAAGAACTATGGCTAAATTTTGATTGTAGAGGAATGTAAAGAAAATTCCAGCCAGTGTCAAATTTTTAGATTTGACATTTAAAAATTATCAGAATTCAGACTTTTGGGCACAGGACGTCCTTTACATAAACTATGTGATCTTATTTTAATATAGTTAGGGACTAGCCTAAGCAGAGGCATTCCAAAACTATCATCTCAATATTTGGCAATTTCATGTTTATACCAATTTGCAAGGCATCAATTAAGTAGGCCCCATTTCTCCTTGGAAATGAGTTGAGCCTTTAGATTGAATATTGCATATAAGGGCAAATTTTTATTACCAGGATCCTACTACAAAAGTATGGAACTTACTTTTGAAAATACATTTAAAAGTGCTTTGTACAGTGTAAAAAAGTGCTAACAAGAGAAACTAATAGTTATATACTGGGGAATATTTGTGTCATGCATTTGGAAACTAATACCCCAAGTCACTGTCTAAAATAAAATAAAAGTAGCTATAATAAAAGTAGCTATAATAATAAAAGTAGCTAAAAGTACAGCTTTTACTTTTGCTCTATGACAGTCCTACAAATCAGTAAGGTATTAACAATAAATAGCAGCTAATAAGCTGGTAGGACCCTTTGCTTATACATTTAACTGTAATAATCTGTATGTTTTCACTGATCCATCTTTGATTAGGCTATACAGAACTAAATGTCATTTCTGGCCTGCTTTTGATACTTACGAAAAGTAACAAGTTGATAATCTAGTCCATGCTCACTGGGGAGAAGCACTGATACGGGGCTAGTGCTCCAACTCAGCAATTTCGGAGCAGTGTGGCAGAGGAATTTCTAAAACATGAAATACCTGACTGTTTAGTCAGGGACACTGACCTCTTTTCCCACAGATTGTCAAATAAAAAAATGACAACAGCCAACACAACAATGGCCGTCTGGTGTGAATGCCCTGTCTTGAACCATGAATTAACATAGGTCATATAGTACAGTTGCATCTTACCGCTCACGTTGCATAATACGGTCGTGTCTGATTGGTTAATTCTTGGTGCCAGAGATCCTTGTATATAAGTATGGGCACCTGATTTTTTAAAAAGTCACTCGGGAGCAAAAAGGATAGGCAATTACTACTATTGTTGTCTGGGTGTGTTTTTTAATAATTAGTTTACATATGCCATGAGATGAAAAGGTTGAAAATCGCTGCTCTAAAGCATCACATTTAATTTAAATAAATCATATCTTCTTCTGCAAGCTGGTTATACACTCCTTGAAAGCACAAATCTTATCTGAATATTTCCTGTACCAACAGTCCCTATGGTGACTGGCAGAGAATAAACATCAGTAACTAGTGAATTAATTGATTAATAAACAAACTAGGCACAACAGTCATTCACATGCCTGAGCGGCTTCCACAGGATGGATGTACACCAGCGTGTGCTCCGGGCCGTCCACTGAAGTGTAGGAGGCACCATCTGCCGTATACACCACCTGCTGCGGCGGGCGAACCTGGTCATCGGTGTAGACGATCTGAGCCACAGTTCCAGCGTCTGGAACAAAATGTACCTGGGACAAAATGCAGAAAGTATGTAGCAACTACCCCTGTAGAACAAAAGCCGTCTCACAAAGATACATGGCGGAGCAAGCAGAGTGCAGCCTGCATTCCTACAACCTCCCGGTGAAAGGAGGGACTGACACATTCTCACCACACTGCGGCAGTGACTCGGAGACCCGAGCCAAGCACCTTGTCACTCGCTGGTCTACTGCTTACTTACTACTAGGCAACTGATCTAAATTCCTCTTTGCCTCAAATATCCAATGCAGATATCTCTTTGGGGGAGTGACTGGGGGTGCTTAACTGATCCTAGAAGTAGGACTCAAGACTTCTGGTTAACATTTCCAAAATACAAAAATTATTCTGTAATGTGGAAAAATACACCAATTGCTTTTAACACATCATAAAAATTCTGCCTTGTAGCTAATAGTGCCTCTCACGACATGTTAAAATAAGGTCACTTTCTTTCCTCCACGTTCTTTCGCACTCCACAGCTGCACTGGAGGCGTATCAGCAAATGTTTGCTGAGTCAACAACTGCAACGGAATCCTTGCCAGCTAGAGCAAGACACAGAAAATTCCAGTGAAGTGCCTTTAAGGGGATCTGGACGACTATTTCAGGTGTCAACAGGGTAAAAAATTTCCCATCTACCAAAAACTGAAGCAGAAAGATAATTTCCTAAAATGCGTTCTGAGTAGGCGGCTTCGGAGGCTTGAATTCTTGAAGGCTCCGTTTGGCACACAGCCTGAGCCCCATATTAAAGGTAGAGAAGCAGATGGCCAAAGTACGCATTTGGGAGAGAAATAATTCATGTGCTGATGCTGAAGCTGAGCACTCGTCGGTTGGAATCCTTACTCTTACACTGTCTTGGCGTTGGACCTAACTTTTTTATTTCAGTTTTCTCCAACTGAGAACAGTGGAACCCAAAGATGATATAAGCTCATTTAATCCCCAGAAAGAAACCTAGAAAGCAAATGCAATCAGGCACCACAGAAATAAAACAAACTTCCTCTCCTATACTAAGTGAACAGTCCAGCTTCTACATAAATTTAATCTGTCCATGAAGATTCCGTTTGTATATTGGAACTAGGCCTATAACATACTTGTGCTGCACATTTATGAGCTGCAAGATAATTGTGTGACTAGATTTTTTCATTAACATCAAAACCTTGTCCTGGTTTCTGGGCTCTAAAAAGGCAAAAAGCATTTCCCCTTCAACTGGGTCTTCACTGCTCACTGTTCTGCTAACTCGGGATCCCCGGCTGCGAGAAGGGACGGCTAAGAAGGGGGCGCAATGAGGGACGGTGAGCCCTGCCGGCTACTCCTGTCTGGTCAACCATGTGTGGGGCCCCTGGTCACATTGTGCCATAACCATGTTTTCTTTTATTCTGTTCCTTAATTAACTACATTTCTGTTTATAAACAAAATACATCAGATACAGGGTGTCCCCAAAAATGTATACACTTTGAATGGTTATAAAGTCAGTGTTTATCAACATACAGTTCATTTTCAAAATTTAAAAGAATCCACAGAAATTAATAACTTTTTGTCAATGCCTGTTTTCAAACTGATGACTGTTCTGGTCCAGGCACTGCTGATAACGCGAAGCACTAGAGTCGAAAAAACATCAAGAATCATTTTGTTTGGTATTTGTGTGCCCTCAATTCAATTGTTGCCGGTTCTGTACGGTAAACTTTATTTTTTTATGTATCCCCTTAAAAAAAGTCTAGTGGCACTTTAGGGTAAATTTTCTTTGTTCAAAGTTTAGTCTGGCTTCACCCATTATTTCAAATCAGTTAAACGTCAAAAGGAGTGAAAATTAAGTGAGTTATCAGCTGTTAAATTGTGCATACACTTTTTTGGGATACCTTCTATATAGCTGCATGAAAGTACCTTCCAAATGGTTTCTATGAGAACAAAACAGCATTCTCAACAACTCTGCTGGAAGCATCCCTAGAACTTTTTTTTTTTAAGTACTCAGACTTTTAAATCATGCCAGATGATCAATTTTATTCACTGTAATATCTATTATATTGCTTAAATAAAATGTGTATATCTAAATATTTCAGGCCAGCTGGGCATGGCTCAGCCGTTGAGCATCGACCTAGGATCCAGGCGATCGGGGTTCGATTCCCGGTCAGGACACATGCCCAGGTTGTGGGCTCGATCAATGACTCTCTCATCATTGATGTTTCTATCTCTCTCTCCCTCTCCCTTCCTCTCTCTGAAATCAATAAAGATATATTTAAAAATAAATAAATACATAAATATTTCAATTAACATCCTCATTTTGATAATAACACTGTGATCATGTAATTCAGTAAAAATGTAAATAAAAATTACTTATTTATTATAATGCTTAAAAACTCAGTTTTATACTTTGGTCACATAGAAACCAAGGCTCCCTAGGACCGCCGACTCTCCTGAAACATACCAAGCACGCACGCGAGGCCTGTCTGCTAGGAGAGCAGTCAGTAGAACAAGTGGCTGCTACTCAGCCACCTGAGGCAGAGACCGCAATCACAGCGACATCTGAGTAAGCGACTAACCTCCAGAGCTACTGACTCAGCGAGACAACTTTCAATGAGAGGTTTACACTCCTAATTTGCATAGAAACACATTGTACTTCATTATTTGCAAAGCATCAAAACCATATGCTAGATCACACAAAGGAACACACTTTCAGCACCAATACCAAAATTAAGTGGCGGAGTGAGGCAGACTAAGGCGTGAGCTGGGAAAGGCAGAGGCCCCGCTGGCGGTAGCTCAGCTCCCTGGCCGCACTGGAACGTAGACACAGGGCGTCCAACGCGCCGAAACGCCGCCTGTTCCTCACCTGCGCTCCGCAGGCCACCTCCCTCCCGGCCACTCGCTCCCGGACAGAAGCTGCTCGTTAGCTGTCAGCACACTGTCCCCCACTGAAAACCGCTCTCAACACCAGGCTGAAAAACCCCCCTTCACCTGGGCAGCGTTCTCTTCGTGGTCCGCAGACGCAGGCCACACGTGCGAGCTGTCGTCTTTGGAGTCCATCCTTCCCTCCTGGACGGCTCCCCGGCGGGGCACCTAGAGCAGCATGGGGTGGAGGACAGTCACCTGTCTACCACTCGAGTGTTCATGAAGGACAAGGGGACGTCTCTGCAGTGTGCCTGAAAACAGAGAGAAAGGACCGAGACTTTAAACAGATGAGTACATTTTTAATAAATTATCATTTCAACCACAAAGAGAAAAAGTAAAACTTTTTAAGAGAGAACACACCTGGGCAAAAAGGTAAAAGCAGAGAAACTGTTAGAACCCTCATCAAAAATACTTCGGGTAGTTCTCTGAGTTGTCCCGACAGGGAGCGCGAGGTCCCGATGCTGAAGGCAGGCGGTGACGCTCACACCCCGGCCGCCTGCGTCGAAGCCCCGCGTCCCCGCCTGCTGCGCAGCCCCGCGTCCCCGCCTCCACACTCGCTCAGACACTGAGTTCCTCTACTACAGCGGGGGCTGAATTTTCTGGGCCCCGTTTTGTGACTATAAATGTAAACTTTGTTTCCCATCTGGTCAGGGCTGGAGTGATCGGTGAACAAATCAAAAACCTTCCCAAACATCAACGGGCACTAAGTCTACACCCTGAAACCGTCTTTCCCAAAACAGGCATTTTAAGGAAATCGATGGTCCCGTTTGAAGGTGACAGAAAGCTGACTTTTCACAAGTCCCGCGAGCCTGCTGTCCGACAGGGCAGGGGGTGCCCTGCCTGTGAGCCTCCGGCCGTCCCACTGCAGCAGCCCCTTAGATGGAAAGGTCAATCTGCCCCGAGCACCGTTAAACCAACTGGTAAGAAAGCCCGCTGGCCAAGATCCAGCCAGAATTTCCTCCGCTGTTAATGGTGAAGGGGACGAAAGTTTTGCCTTTTGGGATATTGATTTCAAACTGGTTATTGAGAAACAAAAGACTCAGAAAGAACCTCTGACCCTCTCCCTTCCTAGGAGACTGAGATGGAAAGGCCTACTCCACGAAGAGACTCAGGATGCTCGCCTTAGCCTAATTTGGAAAGTATGGTAAACAGGAGGGCCTCAGGCAGAGGCCTGTTGTTTCTGAGGTGCCTTCCAAGAATTTGCCTGCCTGGTGTGCTCAGCTCTTCCTCGACTACCTGTAAATGGCCCATTCTCACTTCTGAAATCTAAGACCCCCTTTTCTCCTTTGTCCAAAATGTCATATATACCCAAGGATGCCTCATTGTCTTTGAAATTTCCACACTTATGTGAATTTCCTGTGCACATATATTAAATATTTGATTTTCCTGTTACTCTTTCTTTCTTAATTTGATTACTAGCCCAGCTAGAACTTAGAAGGTACTTTTTTAGCTCCCACAATGGAAACAAGCTGAGAAGGACATTCTAAGACTACACAGGCTCCAAACTTGGAACTAGATTAAGGCCCAAAGAAGAAAGAAAGAAAAGATGCTGGAACACCGGACGTCTGGGCCTGACTGAAACGCAGGAACCGCCAGTTCCAGCTGCAGGGGAGCCTGCGGTGGGCCGTGGAGGGGCCTGCTGCTGCACCCAACACCACCGCCCCAGCCCGCCAGGGCCCTCCCACCGCACCACACCCACCCCGCAAGCACCCCGAGCCTCTGCAACCGAGAGCACTGGAAACAGCGACCACGTCCACCTACAGCTGAGCGTGTAAATAAGGGACAAGAGGGAGCCTTCTGGAGAAATGGAAACGTTCCTTATCTTATATCCGGACGGGCGCAGTGGTTCCAGGGGGAATTATGTGCCGCAAGTCAAAAGTCTGTTCAGTGAAAATGTGTGTATTTTATCACATACAAATCACAGCCTAATAAAGTCAATTTTTAAAAACTCCTTATAAACAGCACTATGTAAGCAGATATTAACAGATATTCAGGGTGAGTTGTACAGTATGTTAAATATACCTCAACAAAGCTGTTATATCTATTTTTAAAAGGGACAAAAGTATTAAGAAACCTAGGAATAAATGTCAACAATAATATAAGGACCTATTATGAAGAAGACCATGATTTTCTTTCATTCAAAACGACATAAAAGGCTCAGTATTACAAAATCATAAACTGTTCCATAGGGAGGCATTTTAAAAATTTTACTTTGAAATAATTTCAGACGGAGAAGCCGCAAATATAGTACAAAGCATTCCTGTATTTCTTCACTCGGCTTGCCCAAATGCTAACACTTTATGTATTTACTTTATTATTCTCTCTCTTTTGGGGTGACATTGGTAAATAAAATTATATAGGTATCAAGTGTACAAGTCTATGATTCATCATCTGCACATCACATTGTGTTTCCTGCCCAAAGTCAGGTCTTCTCCCGTCACCGTGTACTTGAGCCCTGAGCCCTCCACTGCCCCCTCCCTCTGGTCGCCACCACACAGCGTGGGTATGAGTTTCTGTTTGTCTGCCGTTTGCTCCTCTGTTGCTTCCTGTCTCATTCCCCACGTAGGAGCGAAATCACTTGGTTCCTCTCCTTTATCCATCCGACTTTCTTCGCTTAGCGCGATACTCTCGAGACCATCCGTGTTGTCACAAACAGCGGGTTTCACCTTTGCTCACGGCTGAGCCGTGTCCCACTGCGTATGTGCACCGCTGGTGGGAATGAAAACTGGCACGGCCACCATGGGAAACAGCACGGAGGCTCCTCAAAAAGCTAAGAATAGCGGTACCTATAACCGAGCAATCCCTCTTCTGGGGATCTACCCCAAAAATTTGAGAACATTTATTCACAAAGATACATGCACCCCTATATTCATTGCAGCACTACTCAGGGTGGCCAAGACATGGAAACCATTGAAGTGTCCACGTGAACTGTATTATGCAAAAGTTGCAGCTGGGAAGCCCTACTACCACTAAATTCACAGGTGCCTGTTTCCTAAAAATGGTACATTTTCCCACATAACCACTAGTATCGAAATCAGGAAGTCACCAGTGAAAGAGAACTATTACCTAATTTACAGACCTCATTCAAAAGTTGCCAATTGTCTAACGTCCTCTGCAGAGAAAGAAACAACTTTCCTGGGCCCCAGAATCCAACCCGGTATCACACACGGTGCACTGAGTAGTCCTGTCCCTTCCGTCCCCTCTGACGGGAACAGTCCCCAGGCTTTCTCCGTTTTCCATGACCTTGGCATTTCTGAAATGCACAGGCTGTTTGTTTTTCAGAATGTCCCTCGATTCGAGCTAGTCTGACATTTCTTCATGGTCACATTCAGAAGATGTATTTTTAGCAGGAAAGCCACAAAAGAGATGTGTCCTTCCCATACAGGAATTTGAGAGTTTTTGCCAACTTGGCTCATCGATTGCACAAATACTCAAGTGCATACCACGCCAGGCACGGGGATGCGATGAGGGCGAAGGTGGGCTTACCCCACACTAATGCAACATACGCAGCCCAGAGGGCCTCTCTGTGTTTGTTTTAATATCTAGGACGGTGCTTATTGTTTCTTTCACTTTCATTTTATTTATATCTTTTTTAATAGGCAGTTAATTCAATTGACTCAAAATTCAAAAGGCATAAAAAGGTATATAGTACACAATCTCCCTACCTGGAATCCCTCAGCGACTCTTCAGAAGCAACTTGTATGATCAGTTTCCCGTCTATTCTTCCAAAGATATTTTATGCATAGACAAGCAAAAGCATATGTACTCTCTGCCTCTCCAACCACAGACAGCAAATACTACTGATTCTATACAAAGTAGCATCTCTTCTATACCTTGTTTATTCCACAAAACACCATACTTTCTACATTGCTCCACATCCATACAGCGTTTCCTCACTCGTTTTTATAGCTGTATCATTCCACTGTAAGAGTATATCATAACTTAATCAATCGCATGTTGATAAACATTTAGGTTATTTCTAATATTTTGCTATTGCAAGCAACGCTGTGATGAACAACTTTGGACGTACACTGTTTTACATTTGTTAGTATCTTGAGTTCTTTTAAAGCCTCTGAGGGTAGATACTGAATCCGTTACAGTGGCTGTACAGCTGTTAAGTCTTAGTAGTTTCTGCACCACTGGAGCTCACCTCCCCGCCCCCGGCACACGAGGGCCCAGGGCTCAGTGGAGGGGCGGCAGTCACCACAAGAGGAGCCGCGGCTAAGAGCCTGGACTCTGACCTGGATTTGGGTAACAGTTCTGACTTAACTGACCTTGGGCAAAACACAGAAGTTCCCTAAATTCCTCTTTTCTGTAAAATGGGGACCACAGGCTACTGAGAGAATAACATGAAATAATGCATGTAAAATGCTTAGCACAATGTCTGCTACGTAATAAATACTCACAAATCAGCTTTAAAGAAAGGTATTCAATCATATTGCATTTTTCTGTCTGTCTGTCTGCCTCCCCACCTCAACTCTAAGTTCTTTCAGGACAAGGAATGTGTTTGTTCACGAGAGTAACCCCAGACCTGGCATGGGACAGGCACTCGACAACTTGCACGGTGTGGTTTAAAGATATCACCGTGTGCCAAGGGAAAGAGAGGAGGGCACCTGATCCCAGCCGCGGGGTCAGGGATGGCATCTCGGAGAAGGGGAAACTTTAAGGACGAATCAGAGCAGGCAGGCAGAGATGGGAAGATTCAGGCTGAAATATTTGTTCTCATTCTATCAAAACAAGGAAGTAGACAGGACATGGCATAAAATTCCAGTAAACTACATCAGGCCAGGAAAAAAGGGAAATAACTACCTAGCAGATGTGGAGCAGAACAGAACAGCTAGCATATGCACAGGAAGGTCCGTCAGTAAAATTCAGCAGTGAGGATGTGGCACACTGCCCACAGGAGCAGCCCCCCATAATTTTAGAATACTGTGAGCAAGAAGCCCAAGATGGTGAAAACCCTTTAATTCAAAAAGTGTCCGGAATCCAAAACAGAGATACAGAATACCCAGTTAGTTCTTTCCTTTAAGGTATAGTTATAAGACCTATTGCGCTTCTGTAACTATTAAACTATTTAATATTAAACTGGTATTTAAAACACCAGCGTGACATTCTGCAAATATTTATTGTTTAAAAAACTGTTCAGGAAAACTGAATTCTAAGCATGACTCCACACTAAGGAAGTCACTTTAAACCCTCTAGCATCAGTGTCCTCATCTGCAAAATGAGAACATAAAATGGTTCCTAACACCTACCCTGGCCTTAAGCTTCGGCGGTGCGAGGTAGAGTAAAGCAGAAAATCCGAAGGATCTGAATTGAATCCCGGCTTCCAGGCCCTCCTGGGCTCACTAGTTACACAGCCTTGGTCAAATCACTTAAACTCTAACTATCACCACGTGTAACACACAGACAATACCTGCCTCCTAGAGTTAAGGTGAGGGTCACATGATATACGTAAAAACTCTACGTACGAGATCTGGCACATAATAGTGG